TCGGATATTGACAATAAATTAATGTTACTTATAAGGTATTTTAAGATGAAATTTTGTACTAAACGTTATACAGGACAGTATTTAGCTAATATTTAATAAAAAAGACATAAAAATAAAAGTGTGGGTTTTTAATTGATTTGTATTGTTTTTTTATATTTCTGAAACTCAACACACAAATCCAAAATGTTAAAAAAATTCAATTCCTTTGCATTCCTATTTTATTTTATAACTTCATCTTTGAAAGAACCAGTTTTTGGAATTGATGACGACTCAGAATCAAGATCCTTGATGAAATTACATCAATACAGTTATAGAAGTAAGTTAACGATATAATTTCAAATAAATAATTTTAATATAAACTTAAATTATTAGATATAGACAAATGGTATTCAATAAATCATCGATGTTCGGGCGGTTTACAATCGCCGATTGATATAAATATGCGTCAAACAAAAAAGGAAATATTTCCCAAATTTACAAGGACCAATTACTTCATTAAACCATTAACAACAAAAATAACGAAAGGAAAATTTAACCGTAAAAATAAATTATTATAAGCAATCTCAAATTTAGAAGAAACGAAATTTTAGTTATGGTCCTTCCAATATATGAACAAGATTATCCAATACTATTAGGTGGACCATTAGAAGAGCCGTATCGTTTCAACCACGTTGTATTTCATTGGGGAAAAAGCGATAATCTTGGAAGTGAACATGCGATAAACGGAAAAAAATTTCCTTTAGAAATACAAGCGGTTCATTACAATGATAATTATGACTCGTATTCTGAAGCGTTAAATTCACCAAATGGAATTGCGATAGTATCATATCTTTTTAATATAAACGTAAATTTTAAATTGGCATTAATAATTCTATAAAGCTATTTCTTTTTATTTTTAGGAGAAAACTACTGGTGATTTAGCCTTAGATCTTATTCAAAAACCATTTGAAATGTTGGCAAGTGTACCTACAGGTGAAGTTGAATTGGATTACGCTTTTCCAATCTCTTTGTTAACACCGCCTATTTATAAACGATATGTAACCTACAATGGGTCTTTAACGTTACCGCCCTGCAGCGAAAACGTTATTTGGATCGTTAATTATAAACCAAGATCAATAACGATGTTGGAAATGGAAAAATTTCGAATGTTATACAATAATAGCGAGGGCCTTATCAATAATTTTCGACCGCTTCAAATGACTAATCAAAGAGATATTTATATTGTTAAATAAATTTATGTTTTAATTAACAAAGTTATTTTTTTTATGGTGAAATCTGTCTTGGATTTCTTTGACGTGTTAAATACGATGTGGACGCAAAATCACGTAATGTTTTTGTAAAGTACAAATGTCACCTGCAAATATTTTCCCTAATTTAAAAATGCAAGTTAATTTTTTATCACAAAATTCATTATCTAATGCCAAATACTGACCATCACAAATGGGTGAACCAAAACCCATTATGAAATATCTTGCTTTCTCCAAGAAATCTGCTATTGTAATTAATTAGTAAGGCAAGTATTTTACATATATTTACACAATATTACTATGGTATTTAGTTTCTTAAAGTAGAGTCATTTTAAAATTGAAAATACAACAGTTGTAAAAAAGGCAAAACGAAGTTTGTAATTAGCAATGACGTATTGGGTTAATAGTCGTGGAGTATTTTATTTGACATGACCTAGAACATGTAGTAATGTTATATTGATTGATATTCGCACGGTAAATTGGTATTAATTTTCGTACAGCTTATATTACGTAGAAATGTATCTTCATTGATTTCTACCTACATATTTTGATTTTCGGTCAAATAGATATTTTGTGTGTTTAGGTAGGTACCTTCAAGCGTGGTGAATCGGAATTTTCACTGGAATTCCTTACAGTGTAGAAAAAAAGCCGAATTTGGATATACTGATATACTTGGCGAACTCTACTGAATCGGCATAAAACTTGTTTTTAGGTGTGCCAGTAAAATTAACAAAAATATTGTAACTATGGAAGAATTTTGAAAGGACGACTACTGCGAGCTGGGGAACTTTTTAATGACCAAATCGATATATACATCAATATGTATATAATAATATTTATATAGTTACAATTTACATAATTACATTTCAAAGTTAAGGTTGGCTGTGGTGTTTGCCGCCACAGATACTCCCTCAGTCAGAAAATAACCAGAAGATAAGTTGAGGCTCACCCTTCGCCCAATCATCCCTGCTTCTAAATATGACCTTATACAACTGGTCCACATTATATTCTGTCGGTATAAGGTCAGTTTTAATTTCAATCAAGTAGTTTAGACATGGGACCTTGAGGATTTCGGTGTCCTCCGAAGTTCCCGTCATCAACTTGAGTGAAGAGCATGTTTTCAGTGATAAGACACTTAAAGCTGCCTTCTTCCGTATGTATAAATGAAATGGTGTGAGACCGTGTTGGGCTTCAAGAGCAGCCGTTGGACAAGATCTCATTGCACCCATTATATTAAGACATGCTAACCGCTGGATTTGTGCCAGCTGTTGTTGTGCCGTTTTGTGTTTTGTATCTCCTAGGTATATGAATTCGGTTTTGAGGTTAATAGTTCTGCCTTCAATGGAGGGTGCTTTCAATTGTAGCTTTCTTCTCTGAGTGAAAGGGACTATTTCGACTTTGTTTGGATTAATGCTGAGCCCATTGCTTCTGCACCAAGTGCTAGTAAGTATGAGGGTTTTCTGCAGTAGTTTGGTTATGATAGTGTCGTATTTACCTCGGATTGCGATCACCAAGTCATCAGCATAACCTTCAATCCAGGCACCATAGGAGAGGTGAAAGTATTGTTGTGAAAAAACAAAATCAGATTTAAATAAATCTTTGTAAACGAAACGTTTTGTAGACGAATGATATGAAGTTGGGCACGGCTTTAATTTTGAAAACGTTTCATGTAACCTAATGAGTAAATGTTCGGTGTCAATGACGTCTTGTGGTTTGATGAAAAATTCGTAGGGGTTGACCGTACACTAGTTCGACGGAAGAGCATCCGAGGTCTTCTTTGATAGCAAACCTTAATTTAAGAATTATCATTGGGAACTCTTCGTGTCACCGATTGTTATTACATTTAGCTATAATGGACATTTTGAGAGTTCTATGGAACCTCTCTAAAACGCCATTGCTCTGAGGATGAAAAGATGAAGCGTGGATCTGATTTGATCCAAGTAACTTATTAAATTGAGAAAAAATTTGAGACTCAAATTGTCTGCCTCTATCATGTGTGATGGTGTGTGGACTGCCGATTCTGGAAAAGTGGTGATGTAAAAGAGTAATAGCGATTGTGTTTGCTGATATATCTTTTACAGGAAAAGCTTCTGGCCAGCATTCTATGACTGTCAGAATGTAAGAGTAACCTAGTGAAGATGGTAGAGGGGGGCCAATAAGATCTATATGAATGTGTTCAAATCTACCTTTTGGAACAGTAAATTTTTGAAGTGGTAATCTTGTGTGATTTTTGACAATGAAGGCAGAATTTTTCCAAAAATATATGTCCTTGTTCATTCGCAGCCAAAAATAATGTATTTTGAGTGAATGTTGAGTCGTATGAATCCCTGGATGAGAAATGTGAAATTTATCGAAGATAGTGTGACGGAATTTTTCAGGGATGTGAATTCTAGGAGTAGAAGAAAAAGTTTCAATCCAAATTTTAAATTTAGAAAATGAAGTTTCTTCTTGTAAAAGATAACTTTGCTAATTCCCAAAGATTGTTTGTATAAAAGTTTTTGTAGTTGTAAATCGTCTTCTTGTCCAGCTTGTATATTTTTATGTCGGGATAAAAGCAAGTTAAAGATTCTACTCGCAAAAAGGTGTCTGCTACTATATTAGAAAATCCTTTGTGAATCTGATATCAGATGAAAATTGAATAATATAATGTATGTAACGAATTTGACGTTTTGTTTTTCTGTTTTTTGACTGAGAAATTTAACAGTCAACGGTCAAACGTAGAATAATTTAATTAGGATGAAAAAATCGGCAATGGCTGTAGATGAAGCATCAGTAGTTAATGATAATTTCGATGAAGGTGCCAAATAGCTTGCTGTTTCAAAAGTGATTTACCCGTTAAAAATGAATGCTCATGTTCTTCTGACCAATATCTAATTGCTTTTGACAATTTTTGTTTGAAAGAGTATACAAACAACCAAGAGTCTGTGAAAAATGGTGTACAAAACGGTGATAAAAATGTATTACAAATAAAAATTGTTGTAATTCTTTAAGAATATTTAGTCTTGGGATGTCTTGGATGAAATGTTTTGACTGAGGAAGTCAATTGATTGTGCGCCAAAAATTAAATAATGTTATTCCAAACAAACAACCTCTTTAATCTCTTTCTAGGAATTTACGAAAAAATTTTGTGTTGAACTGATAAACACATTTCGTATTTTTTTTGTTATTAACATTATTATTTGCTTTTCTACAAATTAGGTAAAAATATCATCCACGCAAAAGCGGCAACATCTTTTAATCTTTTTAATAAAAATATTTTATTAAATTGATTAAATTCATTTAGATACCTTAATATTAAATTAAAAAACTAATTCATTAAAAAATAAGTTCAAAATTCAGGTATAAAATAACAAGGCCTGCGTTTTTATCTGCATTTGTGTCTATTAAAGAATTAGAATTAATTTTGTGTTTGATCTTACGTAACGTTTTCATTTCATCTGTTATGGTATTAGATGTTATAGTCCTGTTAAATCCTTCCTTTTTCAGCCAGCCAATTAGGTCCTTCCTTAAGTTCTCCTCTTCTAGTGTGTTGTGGGCAGCAGTTTCATTAGATCTATTATCCATTATAGATCCAATAGCTACCCAGGTAATTTAGCATATAGCATACAAAGAATTTTCCATAAATATGACATCAACAAATTTTTCTAAAACTGTAATACAATTTTTAAAAAACTTTTCAACGCTAAAGATAAAATTAATACACTTGATGATAATAGTGTATACAAGTTAGAATGGGAAACCTGTGGTGCTATATACAGGTAAAACGTTCATCAAAACACGTATTAGAGAACATCAGTTAAATGATAATTCTAATTTTGGAAGACATATGTTGATCTACAATCATAACTTTGATATCCAACAAAATGTTTCTTTACTACACAAACAAAACAAAGAGTTGAAGCTAAATTTGCTGGAAAACTATCAAATTGACAAGTTCAAAACTATTAATACCAACTTACGTAATTAATGAAAAGACTAATTTTGTTTGACGAACGTAATATTTGCAATATTCGTTAAACACAATTAGCAGTTTCATAATGTGTATAAAATTTTATCTAATTCCATTGAAAAGGCAATTTTTGTGCAAAACTTGACTTATTTTATTAGTGACAGATGTAAATTTATCAATTTGTAGTTAGGTAATGGAATTTATTACATCACTAGTGATGTAATGATATAATTATATCACTAGTTGTAAAAAAAGTAACGTTACATAACGTCAGAAAGACATGTAAAATTTTATTTTCATAATTGAATTAGGTAAAATAATCTAATTATTATTCTCAAAATTTCAAATTTTAATTCAAAAATTTCTCTCCCTCTTTCTTTATAACACCAATGATTTTTGGTCGTTTTTATACTTCCTGGTTCTCGCAACTCACTTGTTGAGTTCACTTGCAAATAAAATAAGTAGTTCAACCATTTTAAAATGTAACGTGGTGTAATTAAATGTTATTAATCAAAATGTTGTATTGAACAAACTATAATGTTTTTCAAGATTTGATTGTATTTTAAATTTTAAACTCTAAACAAGTACATAAGTACTTTTGTACTTTCATCTATACTTTTTTACGATGTATTAATTGAATTAATGTTTGATAAATTTGTTAATTAAATAACGATATTTCTGTAGAGTGCCCGAGGATGCCTTTAAGGCGAAACTAGTCCGACAAAAATATAACAAAATAAACTAGTGAAAGTACAACAAAATATTTTATTTAAACCTTACATTACGTTAATCCGATAAAATTAGAAATAAAATAATTTTTACAAAAATTATGAAAGAATTAACAGTTTCTTAGAACGCATATTTTCGGATGAAATACCCTTGTATCATTTTACGTTTTCGACGCACAAAAATTAAAATGTCGTTTACCATTTACCTGTTGCTCTAGGAACCTCTTTCCATTAGTTAACATTACTTTTTTTCTTAAAATTGTAAAATATTTTTGTATTGTCTTCGTCAAAGAATTTTCGTTAAAAAT